TTGCCAGCTAGCTAGCATTTCACTAGTGAGACTGATCATTTGGAGCAGGAGAGTGACTGTGGTAGCACAGGAGAAAAACCTGGTAATCTTAAAGACATTAAATCTACTAAACTAAATCAATCTGAACATGTTATCTTTGCACCATCCTCTTCCACTCTGCCTAGGGACTAATGGAGAATTTCCTTGTTAAAAATTTTGTCTTTGGTAAAACCATGTGGGACTCAGCCAAAACATGAAAACAAAATGCCAGAACCCCTGGCAACAGCAAGGGCCTTGCTATCAGCAGCACTACATAAGCATGCGAATAACTAATCTACCCTCACAAATACGCAAACATTATCTAGTTCTGGTGGGAAACAAAGATCCATGAAAACTAAAGACATCTCTATGTGTAACAGACCATGTTATGTGTAACATGGAAGTTTTATGGTTGCCATTTGCTATTTTAATGGCCCTACAAAGAATGAAAATTTGTGGCACTGTTTCATGGATATATACTGTCCTGTAAGGCTCATCTAGGACTCTGGTCTCAAAGAAGAAAAAAATATGCATCTCTACAAGAGACCAGAATGGTAGACAGAACATTAATCATAAATTTTATCAAATAACTCTTTGCAGGAAGAAATATTTCCTAAAGGAAAATGGAAGAAAATTATTTTTCACAGTGAATGAGATAGTATTTTTAGTTGCAAGAAGATACATCAGAACTCATGCCATTTTAATCAATGGTTTAAAAAAAACCAACCCCAGAGCTTTGTTTCAAGTAGTTCTGTAGTGTAAACTCTCATTTACCTGGACTAGGAGGTGCTGACATTTTTGTTTACTAGAATCTTTATATAGTTCAATATCTTAATAGTGTGTGACCAGAGTTAAGGAAGAGATTGACAGCTAGTCAATGAACTGATTAATATCTATCTCATAAGCATTTCATTTTAGCTACCCATGCAGTGTGCATTTTGCCTTTATATACACATTCCAATGCTATTATCTTATGCTTAATTACTTAGGTCTCAAAGCACTTTACAAAGGAATGAGCTAACATTTCATATACAAAGAAACTGAGGCCTAGTGGTATAATTTGCTAGAAGTTATTGAACTAATATCCAAGGTCAGTGGCAAGTAAAAAAACCCAACAAAGCTCTTATCTCAAATATCAGGCAAACACTGTATTCAGTAGACCACACTGCCTCTCAAGATGTGGTAAATGCTTCCCAATCACACAATCTTTAGTAATCTACATCAGGCAGTGTAAAAGAATTTAAAATTCCACCTGCATTACAGCAAACATTACAGTGTAAAATTTAAATATACTGACACTTAATCTGTTAAACACTGGAATATTGCATTCAGCTTTCTTCAAATGATTAAGCTGAGATGACAAACATCATGTCATCATAAGATGACTTGCCTGACAAGACTGCCCTGGTCATTCCTCACCTTCTAAACATCTTCTGATAACACCCATCTTCTCAGAAATGCTCAATTGTAGTTACTCTTTCCTAATTATGGTAGCCTCTCCCAAAACACTTGTAATGCTGGGATTTTGTTTCAGTCAATAAATTATAAAGCCTTTTCAGTTCTCACTCCTGCTTTTACTTTAAGTATTAAAACCAGCAGGAGACACTTGGCAAATCGATCGATAACTTGAGGTTTGATGACAAAACATCTAAGAGTCAAAACTAACCCCTCATTTTGCACTGAGCAATTCTGTGTACATGAGGAGTAAATAAAGTTACACTTGTTTGTAGAATTTGGAATGTTTTCACTAGCTGCACATCCAAGTACAAGTCCCAGTGCTGAATTAAACAAGGTAAATGAAATTAATTTTCTTCCATGTCCAGCTCAGGTGGCTAGCAGGCCTTGAACAAGATTACCAGGACAACTAGTGAATAACAATGAAACCAGCACTGCAGTAGATTTTATTCTTGGCGCTGCGTTTTACCGTTACTTTTTTTTTTGTAACAAGTCTTCTCTTTCACTGGACTCAAGAGAAATAGGAATTTCAACTTCCAAGCAAGTTAAAATAGAAAGAAATACAGCTTGCAAGTTTACACTGTAATTGATATAAGTCTATTATTACAAGACAAATTGCAGCAGACAATGAAAGAGACAGCTCAATCTGTTACTGAATCCCTGTAATGGCTATATGAAGAGCTCGACCATTTCACTCATAAATCTTTCTTCTAAGTTTTTATTGCTGCTTGTGTGGGTAAAATAATAAAACTATGCAGTGAAGTACAAGAGATGCAGTAATGCATTTCTAGTCACAATTACGTAAAGTTTGTTACAGGAATCATAACCCTTTCAGCATCTAATCAGAAATAATGTCATGTTAGAGGCTGCTAAAACACCACATGGTATCTTTAAAAAGTCATTAGATGCAATCATGCCCATTGTGAATAATTATCTCTGCTACAGACTGCTATGATGCACTGGGCTGTCATAAGTCATTCTCGACGATCTGTCACAAACTTTCTGCAGAACAGACCAGGACAAAGCACGTAGCAACTTGATTTCCAGAGGCTGACCTACTTACTAACTTACTGGCAAATATAAACTCAAACAGGAAAAGCCATGTTAGAAGATTCTCAAGATGTATGTTCCCATTTATTTTTTTAAGAGTAACTGATTTTAATAATACTTTTGTACTAATTTTTTGTCTGTTGTCTGTGAATCAGTGCCCAGCAGGGAGACCATGAGAGTCACTGCACAACTGAAACTTTAGAATTAGCTGTCATCACTGAATGACAGAAACAGAAGATAAGCAAAGAGGCTGGAGAGGGGGAGATATAAAATGGGATACATGCAACAATTCTGTTCAAATGAGTGCAAGTACAGTTATGAAAAGAGCAATATTCCCACATCAGCCAGGAAAAACAGAAGCTATAGCCGCTAGTTCCACAGTACATTTTCTCTAGTTTTGCTTGCAACAAACATGATACAAATCTCACAAGCATCTGACTGGAGACGCCTGCAATGGTTAAGAAGCCTTACACTCTAAATTACCTTGCTTTTGTTAGGCAGGTGAATTGTCCATAGCGTTCTTTCTGAAAAGAGGTTTTTCCCTTCAGAATTTAATTTATAAACTCACTCCTGCCAGGCTGCGATAGCAGCTACTGTATAAACCTGAAAATGATGACTACTGAAATTCCATTCAAACCTTAGGAATCAATAGAAAGCAGACAAACCACCAAGATAAAAGTTCCACCCAACTGCAAAGAGCAAGAGCTGCTGGATACCTCACATTGTTTTTACAGTGTCTGCAGTCACCAACCTGTGAAATAGAGACTGCACAATCCCATTTCAGTTTGAAAACCTGACCTGTGCTATCCACATGTGGCACCCACGTAATCTGCCTGTTGGAAATGCCTTAGTGTCATAGGTATTTCCAAGCAACAGAAGGAGACTGAAAAAACTAGTGAAGACAGTTTAGAATTTTCTGAGACTTATACTGCATTTGGTAAAAGCTTATTATATGGGTTCCTTAGAGATCCTGATCCTGCTTACCTTGAAGCAGCAGCTCTGTAAGTCAATAACAAAGTAACCTGCATTGGTGTCACCCTGGTTCTTATCAAGTTACATATAGAAACTTGTTTCTATAGGCAGTGAAGAAATGACAATTACAGCATCTCCCTTGGAGTCTGCTTAACTGAACTAATATGTCTGAAGGCAGATGTTGGCACACCATAGTCTGATGTCAGCAGAATCTTCGTTGTAGAGCTCCACATTTTATTTAAATGCTTGCTTATAAATGAAAAATGTTATCTATGACCAAGCATCAATGAAAACCACCCTATTGCAACGTCTGCTGACTTGCATTTCCCACTTACCATGCCTGCTGCAGCTCCAGATGCTTTATTACCTTCACTGAGGGAGGCTGCTAGCCATACAGACAAGTTGCTTTGGCGCAGTGAGCCCACACAAGACCCAGTCTATCACATAAGCCTTGGTGAAGCCCAGAGATCAAGATATGACAGCAGTTATGAAGCAAGCATGATACAAGCCATATATTGAGTAGAGCTTAGCTTTTCAGCTCTTAAAGGGATTGTTGTAAACACTAGTTACGTTCCTTCTCATTAAACTTCATGACAGACAAACCAGGTAAGGATGTGAGCATATTAGAATTTAAAAGTAAAAACATGAAATATTCAAAAATCTGTCTTTCTTTGAACAAAACACAATGTGCTTCAGTTGAAAAGGAAATTATCATTTGCCGGATACAAAGGAAATCCTTTGTCCCAATCACAGCCTACTCTGACTTCCCCCCCACCTCCTTAAGAAGCCAAATGGATGCAGTTCTATAGTTTGAGAGCTTTACACAGTATATGATGGTCTTATTTCACATAAATTACAAGACAGCCCATTGTGGGTTTATCAGATTGTGAACCAGCATATGAGAGAAAAAGTTTCCCATTGAGAACTAGTGATAGTCTAAGTCACATAGAATTTAATCTATAATATGCCAGAATACAGTTACTTAAATGAAAGATAGGTACATAAATTGTTTAAAGAATACAGGACATATTTGGTAGTGATCTGTAAAACCAGCCTTCCTACTCTCAGATGCACCAAAAGAAATCCCATTTGGTTCGTTTGCTACATTTTTTACCTATTGCCCAACCTGGTTTGACTCTGAATTTTCTCTCACAAGGGTAAAAGCAATGCTGAAAAATTCAACAAGAGCGCCATGAGAACATGCAAGCTGAGAAACAATAGAAGGATCTTCCACTGGACACCACTACTGATATTCTGTGGTGTTATCCATTACATAAACTGATCCAATAGCAACTAAGTTAAATTTTCATCTTGCTTTGTTAAAATTCAATACTAAAAAAGGCAAATTCTGGAAAATAAGAGAATGACCAAATAACCAGTTAGAGCACAAAGGCAACTTTAATTTTAAATCAATTTTAATAAAATATTCATGTTTTAACAAATATTGTTAAACATGCATTTTACCTAAACACCAGATGCATTCGAGAATTTATGTTTTGACTCACCATACTGGCAGCGAGGACCCTGAAATCCTGCAGGACACTGGCACATCTGGGATCCTGCTTCAGGACATTTCCCTCCATTGAAGCAAGTGCCAGCAGAGCACAGCACTAGTACACACAAACAGAATGTAACAAGGGGTTTTATTGGTTCTGTGCCAAGGATCCTCCAGAACTGCCTCTTCCTGCGATATTCCTGCTGTAACAGGAACTTCCAAATAGAAAAAAAACCAGCTTTTTATTTAAGTGGAAAGGCTAGACTGCAACAGAACTTATTATCATGGGTATAACTACCATGTTGATATGAAGTTTAACTTTTATAAAGAATGCAGTTTAGCCTGATGTGCTTCAGAGGCAAAAGACAGTTTTAGGACTCAAAGCACTGCCTGAATCCAGAAAGATGACTTGAACTGCTAGAGAATAATGCAGCAATGGTTAAGAAACACTGGTGTACTAAAAGATGTTACATATGTCCAAGGGAATTACAATACTTCCCCTCCTCCAATGGAGAACATTATTTATTTACAATAAATTAAATTCTACATACTTGAGCCAAACTTGCAGAGTATCAAATATAAAAGAATAATTCAACCATTTTGGTGCCTTAAAGAATTCAAAGCAGGTCTGCACTGCTCTTTCAGAAAGAAAATAATTTTATATTGTCACTGGTGTTCAAATACATTAAATTCCTTTACACCAGAGATTAAAATGCAGATTGTAAACACATCTTTGACTTCTTACAACTAAACAGGTGCACACTAGATAGATAGTTTCAGGCCGAAACTAACAGGAATACCTCTCAGGCTTGTTTTTGTTTTTTAAATACAAAGAGACAATCATAAAAGCAAGCTCTCTGAATGCAGCCCTCGAGTTGGTATGAAGATTAAGAAAAATACATAGGAACAGCTGTTAACTTTCATACAGAAAATACAATTACTGACAAAACAGTAAGAAAAATAAACACTGAGTAGATTGCTGTCTTCTACTTGTTAACAGTGACTAAAATGCTTCCTTATAATTTAAATTAAATTTAAATTCTTTATAATTTAAATTAAATTCCATCTTTTAGGAAAACATCCAATCATGATTAGAAATTACTGATAGGAACAGCTTCTCATCGGATGGAGAACCATAGGGTAGAAACACAATTGCTTCAATGGCAACAGCAGCAGAGAAAAAGCCAAAAACAGTCAGACTTTGAAATGAGCGCTACGTCCAAGAAACAAGTGCCTTACAGCAGATTTCTTTGCATAATTTGGGTAACAGCAATAAATTTGGTTGGCCTGTCAAAGCCAGGCTGGCACAAATATGCTGCAACAACTATAATGAGAAATTCAGTTGCCACTGTTTAGATTAAAATTAGATACTTGGTACTTTCACATATGACAGCTTTTGTATTTTTAAAAAGTTTCTTTCCCCATCAATAGATTACCTCTTTATAACTGGAAATCCCAGTTATAAACAGGAAGAAACAAAATCCAACTTTCTAGAAACAAGCATCATTAAGAAATTAAGGCCTAGGCATGTCATCTCACTTGGTTTGTCACAGTTTTGCCATCAACTTACAGTGCAAACAGCCAGGTTCATTGTCATGTTGGACCCATCCCGGGCAGCACTTATAGACAGTCTGATGCTCCATTCTGTACACCTGCTTGTAAACTGTGTAGTACCCAGACCTTTGTAGAGAATAAGTTTAAGAGAACAATCACAACTTCCATTTCACTTATTCACATCTCATTGGTAAAACCAGTCATATTTACTATACACTTTTTCAGCCCCTATCAGTAATTCCTGTTAAAAATGAAGCAAATATAGCAAAACACATCCTGATAACATCCAATAGCTCTAATATAATATGTCCACATATTTTCTGATGAATCTGTATTCAGACTAGTCAGAGGTGAGTAATTTTGTTTTGCAATCAATTTTGGTTTCAGCTGCTGGGGGAGTCAGATCTCCCATCAGTTATAAGCATATGACAGAAATAGAAAGAAGTTCAATTTTTCAAAGTAGATGACTTGACAGCTGGATTTCACCTGAAAAAGGATGAGACAGGAGCATTTTCTGATAATATAAAATTGTGATCTAAACCCCGCCAAGAAGTTCATGACCCACCCAAAGCACAGAAGAAAGGTGGATTTCCCACTCCCTAATAACAGGCTTAAAGCCTCAACAGAACACTAACTATATCCATAACTAATTCACACACATTTCAGATCAGTTTACAATTTCTCACACACACAATAAGTTATAAAGAATTTGCACCAAGTTCAATAACAGAATCCATTTATAACGATAATGTATTACCTTCTCTCATAGCCCATACACCACCTCCTCCTTGTGCAACCTTGTTTCCACATCTTGACCATACGACTGAAGGCTTGAACACATGGCTGTTGGTGCCCTACCAGTGCCAGCTCAAACACTGGACAGACATTTGGCCTTGAAGGAAAGAAAAAGATATACTTTATTATTTCTAGCACAAAATTTAGAAGTCTAGAGAAATACAAAGAAATTGATGCTATGTATAATAGTTAATAAGTTTGAAACAGATTTTTATATTGCTATTTTAAAATACTGTAGTTCTATGACTTTTCTCAGATTGAACTGATCAAACAGCTCTCTTGCAAAAATACAGTCTCCATAAACACCTGACAAATTTTGATCCAACCATTTCAGAACAGCAAATGGTCCACAGACATTAACGGACCCACAAATTATTTACTGTACTGGTCGCACAAGTCACTAGCATGAACACATTCTTGATGGCAGCTTTTTTACATGAATGGCCCAGCTGGCAAAACACAATTCTATGTTGTTCCCAGAAAATGAGCACTAAAGTGTTGGAGCAGGATTTGACTGACGACTCAGCAGATGCTCTTTGCTGTCCCTCGATAACACCAGCCTACGGTAACCCCTTCAGACAAGGCACTGCCTGACAGAGCCTCCCAAGCTGAGGAGCAGATGACTGAGGTGAGGGAGCCCAAGAGGTTTTGCCTACACTGAGACTGCTGGAAGCCCCCCCGCTGGGTCCTCTACATGCAACAGCCCCCATTTCAGTTGACATGCCAGGGTGGGAATCAAAGACTTAACTACAGGCACTGACCTCCAGTGCTCAAAGCTACTGAACAGCAGCCTCAATATAGACACAATGAAAACACAGCGCCTTGCCTCAAAACAGTACACAAACGTACAACGAAATTCAGGCTCCACACAAGCCCAGTGGAAGCTTTACTGTTGATTCAAGGGCAGATAAAATTTATCTAAACTACTGCTGTGTAAGATGTATATTCTGTAAGAGCCTCCCTTTGCTATCAGTCCCCTCAGGGAAGCACATGAAATCTGTAAGAGGAAGTATCCTTGTTCTCTGCTGATTATTCCTAAAATAACAAGACCAAAATAAAATCATTTCTTTGTAGGATGATATGTAATCTTCATCCTGCTACCTAGCACTAGTTACAAAAATAACAGTATTTCAGGAGGTATGGAGGGTCAAAAGAAAGGGCACATGTTGATGGTTTTTCAGAGATTCTGCCAACCTTATTCCAATTCCTTTGCCCTGGTGTAAATTACAAAGTGCTGCATGCCAGAAAATAACTGCATAAAACATGCAGGTCTAACTAAAGCCACAGAACATGGGATGGTTTTTTTTTGGTGTCTTTTAAGGCAGGAGCCTACTGTATCAAAAATGAAATTCAGTGATTTGTCTGAGCAGTTTACAGATTGTTAACATAATCATTAAATCGTCAATTCCCCAAGACAGGCTGCTCTAATTGGTGAGACTTTGTAAATTTTAAGCCTCAATGACTAAAACACAGGGGGGGAACCAGGCACCTCGTATACCCACACTGCTAAGTGGCAAACAACATTCAGCAGTTGTGTCACACTGGCTAACAGACAAGTCCTTGCCCAAATTTCACTTTGAGACTCCTCTTCAGGCTAGAGAATAATAACAAAGAGTAACATGCTGACACACTCATTTCCTCTGTCAATCGACAGAGGTATGAATGTGAACTTGTGCTAGAAAACAAAAGGGAGTTTTGCATTAATAAGATAGAGGACTGTTATAGCCCAACAGCTGCCTGGCGGTTAAAGTTACCATCAGTTACACTGGATATTGTTAATATCTCATTCAAGATTTATGGTGCTTTTGCATCTCAGAGGCCCAAAGTACTTTACTGTTTGAGCACCACGCAAGGTAGCCTTTCTCATAAAAAAGTACATCTTTCATCCGTGGGTCTTCAGGTAGTTTACAAACATCATTAAATTAAGCCTGTGCAGAACAGAAAAATACCAAAGCATGATAATTTTTACCAGTGGGCTAAATACTGGGAAGAAACCCTTCCTGCCTAGATCATAGCCACTCCACAATATTCCCAGTATTGTGCAGAAGACTCTCCATCTTCCAGAATGGGAAATCCAGCCAAGTCTCCCACAGGCACTGCAGCAATCCAGCTGAAGGGAACACTTGGGATTATCCACCTCAGGGTAAAGAGGACCTTTGTCCAAAAAGGACACTCCAGTAGAGAAACAGATCAGATTTTTAAAAGAGACCAATCACTCCCCACATAGCCTACACAAAGGAAGTTACTAAAGAAAGTACACAACTATCTGCTGTGGTTGTCTTATCTCACCATGGAAAAAAAGTAAAGAGAAAATCTGTACTAGAAAACTTCATCTTGACACAAATTAGTTTCCTGAACTAGAATACCTGTCTATCCCAGCCTTTGGAGGAACTGCTCATCTCCATCATCCTAAGCCACACTTTCAATGGACATCCCTCCCATGTTGCTCCATGTTCTTCCTCCTCCATCACAGAGTCCATTTTCTATATTGCTCCTATTTTCCATTCCTTGAGTCCATCCTAGTTGCAGCTGCCAACACCATAAGACAGAAGACAGTAGCAGCGTAGTTTCAGATTACCTCAAATTCTTCCAAAAATCACCTTTCCTCCACATCCATGTCATCTCCATTACCTAGCAATCCTTCCCACATGTCCCAACTACCCCTTCCCTCTCACATTACCTCACCATTTCATATATTTTGCTTAAATTCAGAGCAATTGTTCCCAAGCCATTCTAAGCACAAAGTCTGCTGTTTGTTTCACATCCAAAGGAGGTCTTTGTATGCCCAAAATCTTGCCTGCTTTTTTTCCATTACGTCAGTTGGTCTAATAAAACCCTCGCCTTACTTAGCAACCATGCCTCACTTAGCTGGCTTTTTAAAATGACTCTCCCTCTAGTGAATAGAACATCATGTACTGATAATTCATGCATATCTCCTTTTATTAGAATTGCCTAAAACTTTCCAGATAAAAGTACATTCATATGCATCACTCTTCCATAAATAAAAGAGAGAAACTGACAATTGTTGTAATGACATACTGAGCCCATCCTATAAATTCTTACTCATGTGATATTGCCATGCTTCCAGGAATAGCTGTATTGACTTCTATGATATAGTTAATAGGAACAAATGGCACTCACAGAACAAAACAAGCCAGCAGCATAAAGTCATATGTTTATTAAGATTTATTCAAAGTAAGCCATTCCTCCTAGATGCCCTTGGGATAATTTAAAGGCAGATATCAAAACCTCTGCTACACTATAATTAAATTGCAGCAATTGCATAACATGTAATCCTCTGCTGGCAAAGCTGGGAAATAAAACATGCCCTCTCCAACAATTAGCCATCTTCACAACTCCCCCACACATAGTCACAGCACACCAGTTTTTAAGCCATCTGATTCATTGCTCTCGGATACATTACCTGTAAACTTAAGAAGAGTTTCTTGAACAAGACTACAGCTATTGAAAATGCAATTTTGCGTTATGGCAGTCTATTAACTAGAGGCCATCTAAGACTAACCTGAAGCCTCAAGTGGATGTAACTGTGTATTTAGAGGAGGAGAGCTCCATTTTTACTCCCATGCACTTCACATTCAGGAAATATTTCTTAATGGGAGTTTAAGTGTTAAAACAAGCAAAACACACAAATGCATATTATGTTCTATGATTTGATTGATACACCACTCCCTTAAAACCTTTTTATACTGATGCTCTCTGTTAGCCAAGACTAACACAAAGGCTATTATTACCTTGTCAGTCTGATTGGGGCAAGCCAGAAAGCTCTCTTTTAATATTTGCATTAGGAGACTGCCCTTTAAACAAAGACACCCTACATACTTCCAGCTCAAGACTTAAGATTCTAATGAACAGATAATTAGACCAACATGAAGTGAGAGCTGCCTTGGCTAATCATATGGCTGTGATGTCTGTGAACCACTGCACAACAGGAAAAGTTCAGAGAAAATTAAAAGCATCTCCAGGCGGGATATAATTCATCCCTGTGTTTAGAATTTCAATGTAGTATATATCTTCATATGAAAATACACTCAAAAAAATCACCCATGGAGGTCTATACAAAGATAGCGTACATGGCTCAAGAAGTCCATGAGCCCCCAGTTACTGAGGCAGTTATCCAGGCAAAGTCTCGCTGCATGCTCACTGCTTTTCTTCTTCTCACTAGCCTTTTGCTGCCTGCTCTAGGAAGCAGCCTACGAGCTCAATGGACTCACCCAGCATCTCACAGCATTTGGACACACAGAGAGCATCCATGAAGACCTCAGTGAGTCACTTGCAGTTGTGGTCATTCGTCCTGAACTGCAATTCTGCATCTTCCACCTCAAGCTGTCATCACCACCAGTATCACCTCAACCGAGCTCCCCTGAGAGGGGATTGCAGCCTTTCCACAACTCATGGCAGAGACTAGATGATAGAAAGAGAATGTCTGCAATCTCCCAAGTCAGGTTCTCTGCAGTTTTATTCTTACCCATGATTCTGCAAGTCTGAGGAGGATATCAGTGTAGCAAGCTCTTTTACACACACTCACCCTAGCATAAATAGTTCTGCATAGCAGTAGATGGGCTCGTGTGATGAAATGCACATGGTTTTCACATAACAAAGGAAAAAGACAGTTACAGGTACAGGCCATCTGCTCACAGGAGCAGAGAGGCAGCTTTCTACACACACTCTTGGCACATGTGGTCCAAAAGGGGCAACAGGGGTGAGGAGATGGGAAGACAACTAAACACACGAGAGCTAGAAAGGGAACAGCTCCACCATTTTAAAAGCTACATCATATATCTCTGACAGGGATATTTTCTTACTCTGCCTAGCATGATCCTAACACCTGGCTTTTTGAATGACAATTAAAGTAAATCTCTCATTCTATCAATCCACTTCTTTCCAGCTCAAATCAAGAAGATAAAGGTAGGTAGATTTAATGGTAGCGAGAGAGCAAACACACATCAAGATATCCCTAAAGGTTTCTTTCAACAGCACAAACTTTAAATCAAAACATTAATGAATAGAAAGCAAAGAATGATTTGGCTGTCTGATTTTAGGTCTTTCCACAGAGACTAAGTGAATGACACCACCCTC